TGGGAAATAGTAGAAAATAGGCCAATATGAAAAGTTTAAGAAAGTATATAGGCCAATTTTTAGTTATAGAAATTAATAGGCTATAACTTGTTAAGTTATGGTTTATAACCAGATAAGTTATGGATAAACTTGTCAAGTTATGGTTCATAACCAGACAAGTTATGGATAAAAACCGTGAATTATGGATAATAACTTGTCAAGTTATGGTTTATAACCAGACAAGTTATGGATGAAAACAGTAATTTGGCCTATTTATTAACTTATGTAAACTATTGGCCTATTAATTTTAATTCATTTCAAGTATTGACCTATTTCCCTCTTTCTTCTTATTTTGTTTAGCTGTTGTGAATTTGGTTATTTTATTGGGCCCGTTTAGTTTATTTCCCTCTTTCTTCCTATTTTGTTTAGCTGTTGTGAATTTGGTTATTTTATTGGGCCCGTTTAGTTCGCTGATTCGAGTTTTTAATTCGAGTTTAGATGTGACTTCATGTGAGAGCTTTTTACTGTAATAAAATTTAAATTCTAAACTCGAATCGGTGAAATAAATGAGCCATTATTATTTTTGTATAATATTTTTGAAGAGAAAGAATTAGCAAGTACACTTGAAAGCAAATCATGCCTTGGGGTGGTTGAAAAAGCCTTTTTGGGCATGCTCTCACCAACCAAACGAAGTAAGTGCTAAAAAGTCCAAAGTCGGGCAATTTCGATGGCTTTTTTTAGTACGAACAAGTCAATTGCTTAACACAAGAATATAAAACTCTTTTTTCACTCATGACGAATATAAAAACTCTTGGCTTCTTTGCACTCCTTTTGGTTTTATTTTGCTCATGTACCCACCAACCAAACCAATTTGGAAAACATGTAATTGCTTCAAGTTTCAATTGATTTCATATCTCACTAAACCTAACTCATCTTTAATATAGACAATCAACTACATTTTTAAACTCGAGCATTATTTTTTATTTATTTTTTATTTATTTTTGTTGTGTGTGGAAGGAATGGCTATAGGAGGATGGTATATTCGAAGATAATTTTAAGATGCTCGTTTGCTCACACGGGTAATTTTGATTCTTTTGTTAAGTTTAACCACAATTTAAATATTTTTATTATAGTGTTTTTTTTTTCCTCACAACAATTTAAATTTTGATTCAAATTTTCAATTCGGACCTATGAAGCAAACCGACGTGTCCATCAATCCACCTAAGGTTTTTCTTAATTAGTGTCAAAGTTCAATAACATGTTATTATCAAAATAATTATTGAAAGTGCAACACATTTTTGGCATCAGCGTTGATTATAAAGAATAAAAACGGAGAAATATAAAAGACATGTGGAGGAACACATTTAAAATCCACCCAAACTCATTGGTTCTTAGCTTAGTGAGAAGTACCACCATCACATTCTCATATGCGAAACGTTTCGCAGGACCATGAAAACTCATTCGCATTTAGTAGGTATGTATAGATAAAAAAAAAAAAGGGATTTGATACTGAAGTATATTCCAAGAACGAATAAAGAAGAGCTGAAAGAAGAAAAACAAGAGGAATATCACAACAACAAATCAAATTAATAACATAGAAAAAGGGTGATTTGAAGGGTGCGTTTGAAATTCGTTTCAAAATGATTTTATTTTTTGTATGCAAATGAAAATGAAAACGTTTTCAATCTCAGACATAAATCATTTTTAAAAATACGTTTAGTAGTTTTATCAAGAGATTATTTTCGGTGTAAAAAAATATATTAATGTTTTTATTTTTATTTATTATATTTAATTGTGCCAAATACCGTTTCTCTTTTATTTTTATTTTTTATTTTTTAAAAAATGTAAAAAAATAAAAACAAGTGAAAGAGTAATAACAATAACAATAATAATACGTAAAATAAAAAATAGAAAAAAGGTTAGGACGTGAAGGGTAGAAAAAGGTTTGGTGGGGAATAGTGTTGGGAAGTGGTAGGTGAGAATTGTGGTTGAGAAAGACGAACACTTTCACAATCATATGACGCCTTCTCCACCTCTTCTTGACGCATACGTCGGCATTTCCTTTGTTTTGGTTGGTTTGGTTTTGTAATTTTATTTTAGGACTTTCTCGGTAAGTGGGTTTATCAGTATAATCAATTTTTGATAATTAAATTTAATTAAAATTATATCGTATTAAAAAATATATAAAATAAGTAATTTATGAGATAAATTTAATAATTAAAAATAGAGAATTATTTATAATTATTTTTTTCCTTATTTTATTTATTATGCTTTGCTTTCCGTTTCCATCCCCACGCGCAATGCATTCACGTCTTAGGCGCTTATTTTGGGTGTGTTTCGTTGTCTAAAAACTCAAAAAAAGATAATTTGAGTTCTAATTTTATTTAAATTTATATTCTTTTAAGTTTGAACTTAAGTTTGAACTCGAGTTCAGGATTAAAACTCGAGTTCAAGTTTCCCCTTCAACTCGAGTTCAGAAACTCGAACTCAAATAAATGAATAATATTTTTTATATTCTTAAAAATGCTATAACTTTTTCGTTTTAATCCTGATTGAGATGATTTTTTTTTCTATGCGTTGACAATGAAAATATGAATAAAACCCCACCCATGTACCATATTAAAATTTTTCATCACCATTGAGTTTTTATTAAAATACTATCTAAATACAAATTCAAGTTTTGACTCACTCAAACACAAACTCAAAAAGATTCTTATCTCAAACCATAACTCAAATGTACACAACCAAACACAAACTCAAGTTACAAGTTCAACTCAAGTTATAACTCAAATTCAACTCAAGAATTATACTCAAGTTAAACTCGTTTAAAATTTGAGTTTTACTATAGTAAAAAGCTATAAAAAATAATTACATTTAATTTTTTTACTACAATAAAAAATACTCGTATAAAATCACATTTTTAACGAATTAAACGGACGTTAAGGTAATAAACTAAAGTCACCGTAAGGTAATCATTGGGACATGATGATCACTCTGGAGTGGCGTCTCCCAAAAGTGCTATACCTTAATTCTCCTAGATTGTCCTTTAGCGGCCCAATAAAGTAACTTAGTTCTAATTTAATATCGCTTGTAAGAAGTTTAGAGCTCGTTTAGTTTATGAATTAAAATTATGAAATTATAATTATTTTTGATTTATGTGTGTTTTTTATGAAAAAAAAATACTGTAACGAACTATAAATTATGATTCGAATCAGAGAACGAATCCTCTTACTGAACGATCTCTTAATTCTCATACCACGTAAAATTAACGTGGAATAGAATTCATTCTCAAAAACTAACTAAAAAAGAAAGCGTGCAAACCACATATAAGCCCAACATCTCAAAGGGACGCATGCAATACTAAATAAATGCATCACTTTCAAATTTTCGTATCAATACATTTTTTCTTTTCCCTTTTAAATTTAGCACATGCTATACAACTTTATCAACTTCAAACTACTTAAAAAATTAAATTTACCTTTACAAGTTTCAATTACGATGAAAAAGTATACATAACATTTTAAATCGCGTTATGACAATAAAATACAAATAGAATAAGAAACCATACACGTTACTTTTATGCTGTTTTGTTCTAAACACGAAATATTGACGTTTGCGTTCGAAATTGCCTCAAGAGGTCCGAGCTTTCCAATAAGCAACATTGTCCATATTAGTCACTAATGAAAATCATATTGATTAAGATTTAGATTGTTATACGTCTTAGCTAAATGAATGAATCGAGTACCAAAAAATTTAAGAAGATATTTACATACTGAAGTATCATCCTTCACATCATCACGAAATGTTAGCAAAAAGGCCAATTACAAAATCGTCATGTCCATTATAATTATGTTTATAAAAAAATCTAATGCACGATATGATTACGATTGACCCTAGATAAAATATGAGTTCTTCAACATTCTAGTGATATTACCATATTTCTTAATTATCGCCTAAACCTTTCAACGTGTGTGTGTATATATATATATATATATATATATTTTAGTTGTTCCTCCTATTGTTTCATGCAATTGTACACAATAAGAACCCGTAGTGTAATTAGAAAAATCCAACAACATAATTTGATATGAGCAAGGGAGCGAAAAAAAAGTATATATTTCAAAGAAGCATCTAGAAAATGGAGTTGTAAAATAAACAGGGACATACTAAAATAAGTTATCTTAACAGGAGCAACATCGAACAGCAACGAGGGAGTAAAAGTAAAAGAGAAAAGGCCAAAAGAGCCAAAAAGAAATAATAATAAAATAAAAAAAGAACGTTTTGCCTCCAAGAAATAGGGACGAAACATTTCTTACGAAACGCAAGGCAGCAATTGCCGCTTTTAATATAGTAAAGATAAAAGATAAAGATATAAAAGCCGTTTAGTTCGTTAATTTAAAATTTTAATTCGAGTTGAGATGTGATTTTATGTGAAAATTTTTCACTGTAATAAAAAAATTAAATATGACTGTTTATCAGAATTTTTACTGTAACAAAACTTGAATTTTAAACTTAAATCGGTAAAATAATCGCAACTTAAAATTAATTTAATATTTATTTATTGATAGGTGTAGTTGTTTTCATAGTGATGAGCTGGGGCAATTTTTGCTAGGTGACCGAGCTACAATGTCCAATAAATTACAAATATCACAAAAAGATTACATAAAAAAATTTGTCTAAGCCAAATGCCTGCGTGAATACAAGGAACATGATAAAAAATTCAAAAAAGTTGACAAAGCGATATGCACAAACAAAACCAATTATTATCTAGACGTCAAAACGTGCAAATAATGACCAACCAACATGCAGTAAAATTGAAAAAGAAGAAAGTTTGATAAAAAAACAAGTGGAAAAAAACTAATATATAAACAATAAAAGAAACTCATGAATTGAAATATTTCCTTCGTTTCAAAGAGATTAGAGAAAGCCATAATCTTACATCTGCTAATTCCACTTTGTTCTTTTCTTTGAGCATTTCCACAGGCTGTTTGTCAGTTTCAATTACAACGTGAACAGAAAGAGGCGATAAATCTAGAGGATATTTAAACACCATAAAAATGTAGCATGTACAAGAAAGAAAAACATTCCACAATGCGGTTGGGTCCTAACTTCCACAATGAATCTTCCCCTCGTTTCCGTCGGGTCTCGAAAGAAACCATTTCGACAAAAAATATTACATATACATGAACCAAAGCTCTCTCAACCAAGTGAACAATGTCCATCCGGACATTTTCAAGTGACTAGAAACTACATCGTACATACAATACAAAGTTCAGAATCTAATATAACAACACAAGCCAGATCCTTCTTTCCTCAAATGTACACGAATATCTCTGTAAGTGCTAAAATCCTAAGACGTACCTTCTTATAAGAAAAAATGGAATTCGGACCAAAAATCACGCATCAGACAGAGTCCCGTGACTTGCATCCATGATCATCATACAATATTATCATTCCTGCAGCATCGTGGTAAGTAGACAGTCGTGATAGATTATAATAGCCTACAACAAGGGAAACCATCACCTACAGGCCAACCCATTTCACCCATCTGAAAACCCGACCAATTCTGAAGGGTAACTCATAGTCCTTAGAAACAGCAGGTTCTCTTCGTGCAACCTCAGATTCAGACCATACATACACCCCGCGTTCTTGCCGGCTACCTGGTACAGTGTTATCTAGAATTACAGCCACTAGAAATGCAATCACCATGTGTAGAGATAGCAATGTATTCAGGACATAGTTTACCTGAAAGGGTAACATTCTGTTAGAAGTTGCTTAATTTGGGTATGAACTTGTCATGATTGCAATATCAATAATCTAACTCTCTTTATGTAAACTCCAAGCCCATAAAAAAGAACCAAATAGGGGAGTGGAAATATGTCTAACACATGCCAATCATAAGGAAACATTATTCTTGGTTACAGAAAGGAATGACACATCTTCTTACGAGAGAATGGTCAATTGAACATACCCCTCCATATTTGCTACGGAAGGGCCCGTGAGAAGCAACAATGTATGGTTGAAAATAACTTGGAACGGACAAATTGGAGTTCGGAGAGATGCCGTATTGCTGAAAGTAGGCCGGTATTGAAAGTGAGAAGAACAATGATAATCCAACTATGATTATATTCCGAGAACTTCCAGCCTCACTATAACGTAGATTTGACAAGCCTAAAGCAGCAAGCATCGCCCACATGAAGCATAGGAGGGCAGCAACCATGACTTCAGGGATTGACGCAATGAAGCCTCCAACTTTACCTGCACGTAAAGATGAAATATTATGGTAGGACAAAACAGTTGAGAACATTCAAAATTTAGCAACAGAATTAAGGTATCTTTCATTTTTTCAAATGCCCAGGTTGTGCAAGGGCCATTGTAATCCCTAATAGTGACGTGAAGACTTTCAAATCCACTATCCCACCCCAGTACAGAAAACATGCCTATCGAAAACTGACTGTTTGAAAGTTAATGACAGATACGCATGAAGTAAAATACTGTAAGATGTGGAGAGTAGCAGAAGGGGGATAATTTATGCTGGAGTGACAGTAGATCACACTGCCAAAATCTGAGTGAAAGTTGGAATCCATATTTCAAACCATCAAATATATTCATCACATAATATCCAGACAGTACAGTTTTTCTTATTCTTCGCATATCTTTAGGTTGTTACTTGTAAGAAAAGCATGTTCTCATAATTTTTTTTCTTTTTCTTTTTTGGTGCGTGGTGGAAGAAAGACAAAAGAGAAACATATAATTGACTTCAATTGAAATGTCTCTGACTAGGAACATCTGGAGATTTTGTGCTTTAGCTGGTGCATCGTGTCAACGATATTTGAAAAATGGCTTCTCTATTGAAACTTACCAACCAGGGAGAGGACGATCAGAGCGCATGCGCCTAATTCAACTGCTCTGCGACTTCCCATTTTAGTCACAGCAATAGTGTGCACATTTTCTGTTAAAGTTGTGGACCCAGTTCCTGTACCCCATAGGCCAGCCAAGACGCTTGAAATACCTTCCAAACCAATCCCTCGACCAACCACTCCAGGGGTAGGAGGTCTAGAAGCCACCAACAATGAAGAAGCATGGTATGAACCAACCTAAAAATTTCAATACAAAGCAAAACCTGAAACAGGGTAATTACAAAACTTCGGAGGAAAGTGTAGAACTTCCTACATGGGGTAGGAGGTCTAGAAGCCACCAACAATGAAGAAGCATGGTATGAACCAACCTAAAAATTTCAATACAAAGCAAAACATGAAACAGGGTAATTACAAAACTTCGGAGGAAAGTGTAGAACTTCCTACAGCAAGCAATAAATTAAGAAAAGCTTTAATATTACGACATTGACAATGAATTTAAAAAGATTTAATATCAAACAATAACTGAAATGAATATATGGGTTTCAAGGGAACCGTACATGATGCTGAAGCAACCTAAATAAACTTCTAGAGGGATGAGAGGCAAACAAAAATACAGAATTTTGATGAATGTAAAAGCAAAGTGTTGTCATTCTATCCTTGCTCAAGTAGTTTCCTTGTGTGTAAATTAGTATCCCCAATTCAACCAAATCACAACAAAAGGAGTTGCTAGGACTAACTTCTATATATTCTAATGGTTTTGGGGATCAGCGTAATGGTGTATACTGCAATCATATTGACACTCAACATATCTAACAGCCAAAAACATAAACCAAAAATCATTCCCATAACTAGAGAAAAAAATACATATATTTCATTGCTTGAGTTGTTTTTTAGCTTGAATTTAACCATCTAGTTGAATTATGAAACTACAACCTCCTCAATCCAATAATTGTTTCGTTTCTTTACTTATTTTAGTGGTTTTAAAAGCAAGCATTGGTCTTAACATAAGCTCCAATATTTATATTGACAAAAGTAAGCAGGGTTCAAAATTTTCTTTAATTATTTTAATGGTTCTAAAAGCAAACCCTTCACTTCACTCGCATCAATCATTGAAATTTTCTCACAGCATTTAAAGGTGTCATAATCCACAGATAAGCCATAAATTTGAGAACAAAAAGTAGTTAAAAAATACTTGAAAATGAATGGAAGTCTAACTTGTAATAAAACAATTAGATCCCATAAATCAATTCATAACAAGCATGAGGAAACTAACCGAATCAACTGATGCGATTATGGATACTACACACATAACAAAAGCCATTTTCCAGGTAAAGACCGGAGTACCCCATTGTAAGGGATAAGGAAACCTAAACCATGGGGAAGATTTTAACGCATGAGAAGTATCAACTCGACAGTGCTTCATCCTTGAAACATGCTTTCTGCAATGTTCAGATATTAGATTTGAGGCAGGTACACTTATATCACAACCTTTATAACTATAGGCTCCAGCTTCAGTAAGTAAGAAAGCAGCTGCCCATGTGATTGCCAGACCCAATGGAACCTGGCCATTAGACATAACCAACACATCAATCTCACAAAAGGAAAGAGCAATAGCACTTCTTGAATACAAAACGAAAATGGCGGGAAAAAAGTTCACTTACTGCATATATTAAAAATATGCGGTGCCCAAGAATGGATATCTTACGCAGGTACTGCAGAAGCAAATAAAATAAAATAAAATTAAATTAAATAAGAGTTTCCATCAAAATTGAACTACATGAGAAAAAAAATTCCCACGAGGAAAAAGAAATCAGGAGTAGCTTCAGTAAACTTACAAGAGAAAATAAAACAACCAATAGTATCTGCACTGCTCCAATCTCAAGACAGTTACCAACTAGAGGGAAACCATAACTGTAGAAAGAAAGTCCAACAGCAGCAATCGTTGGTGACACAACGACTGGATTGATCAACCTGAAAAGTGAAAAGCAAAGGCAATCGTGGAATGTTAGCTACCAGGGACGAGCAAGAAAATCCATTGAAGCCAAGCAAATATTTAATACAGTGCATAATTTTCATACAAACAAAAGCCAGAGTGATCCAATGCCACAAGCCTGGCCAAGGTTCAAGTTTCCTTTTCAAGCACAAGAACAATGAAAAGAAAAGGACACAAAAACAGAACATAATAAAAGATGAAAAAAAAAAACAAAAACAAAAACAGTAAGTGAAGAAAGACTAAAGTGGTTCACAAACCAAGCAGTAACAGATTCATATAGTATTGAAAACAATGTAGTACTAACACAGGAAAAAGGCAGATTACTTGGAATTATTGCAACAAAAAACAGGCAATAGAAAGTACAAAAAAGATTATTAAAACAGTCAGAAATTCTTGATAGAATTATCATATAAAGACTACCAAAGTCTACACTTCATTGACATGAACATGAAGATCAATGGTAAACAAAATGTCAAAAAGACAACTCTCTGAACTCAACACGCAAGGAAGATCTAAGTGACACCCTATCAAATACTGGCTTGCACCGGACCAAATGGGACTCGATATCTTAGTGTAACATGATAAGCCTCTTTTATGGTCCACTTAAGTGAGGAGTAGGCATAATAAAAAGAAGGGTTATGAACGTGTTGAGATGCTGAGTTGGCTGATAATGGGCATTGATTGGTTGTATCGAAGCACGATTCTCAGATGGCTAGGAAGCAATTGGACACTTGAATGGCGGAGTGGATACAAGGGGTGAAAGGAGCTCATAAAGAATTAAATCTGGTGGAGGATCCGCAGAAAGTTCCTAAATTGGAGAAGGGGATGGAGATGATACTGGGAAAGTTGGCTGAGCTCATGCGACAATGCGGCGAATATGATTGAGGACGAACGCCGACAACTAACTAGCCACCACCAAATATATGGGGTTGTACGAGGAAAATGGCGAGAAGGACGGAGCTCCTCAAGATGGGTGAAGCCGATCGGATTTTATGTACGTCAAATCAATATGTCGGTGTTAGAGGGAAATAATCCAAATGGATGGATCTTCAAAGCAAAGAGATATTTTTCCATGAATCGACTGAGTGAGATGGAGAGGTTGGACGTTATGGTAGTGAGTCTTGACGGAGAAGCCTTGGCTTGGTTCCAGTGGGAAGACAGACTACATGCAATCCGCAACTGACCGGAGCTGAAGACAAATATAGCAGGATGATTCCAGCCTGCTCAAGAAGGTAATCTTTGTGAGAAACTCTTAGTGCAAGTCAGGAGACCACTGTTAGAGAGTACCAACGCCAATTTGAGGTAATGGCAGTCGATGTGTCAGAGTTGGAGGGTAAATTCATGAATGGGTTGAAAGCTAAGATTTGGGTAGAGATCCGAATATCGAAGCCCAGTGAATTGAAACGTTAGATACCAAAAGTCCCGCATGGAATGATTAAAGCCTTTGGGTTCCCTCACCTTGCAAGCCGGTTTTGCAAGGGTGAGTTCAACCTACTGTTTGCTGCAGGACAAATCATATTTGCTAGGCATGGATTATCTCTGCTTTCTTCTTCTGTATATTGTTTAAGTATAAATAATCTTTTTTTAAAAGGATATTCCACTATTGAGGAGGCCAATAAACAATAGGAAATTCATTATTAATACAGTGAAAAACAGAATAAAAGGCAATATTTCTAGTCAACAAATCAATAAGCAAAAAAATTTGTCGCCTACTCTCACATGGTCATGACATTGCAAGTGTTTTGTAATGGAATAATAAACAAAAAAGAACTTTAATTTTGCTACAGAAATAAATATTGATCAGAGGGCGAGAGAAGATATGGTCTCGCACTTGCAATTTGTAGATCATACGCTTTTTTTTCCTAGGGGCTGGTAGAGAGAATTTCAGTAATATTTCCACCATATTTAAGATTTTCAGCCACAGTTTGAGTCTCAAAATCAATATTGAGTAAAGAGTACTGTGGCTGGAATTAACATGGAGGAGCAGGAAGTTCTTGATATTGCAGCAAGTGTGGGTGGTGGCATTGGTGTATGGCCCATAAAATATTTGGGATTACCGCTGGGATTCCCCTTGTCAAAGGAGTTTTGGAGGCCGGTAATTGACAAAGTGGGGAAGAGGCTGGATGATTGGAAGAAAGGTCTTCTGTCTAAGGGAGAGAGACCAACATTGATCCAATCAGTTTTGTCAAATATTCCCATTTATTATTTGTCCATTTTTAAGTTACTGGTTTTTGTAACGAATGTGTTGGAACGAGGAATGAGTGTTCCTTTGGGATGGGGACAAGGAACCGAAAACGGATTTGTTTGGTGACTTGGAGAAAGGTAGCGTTAAGTAAAAAGAATGGGGGCCTTGGAATTGGAGTATGTACAGGCTTCAGCCTAAAAATTAGGATTCCAACCTGGTCTTGCGGGGACTCATCAGAGTCTATGGAAGTGTATTTCACAAGGAGTGTCTTGTTTCTTGGAAAAAGTTAAATGGAACGTTGGGGAGGGTTCTAAAGTCAGTTTTTGGGAGGATCTATGGGTTGGTGATCAGCCATTAGCATTCACATTTCCTAGAAAGTTTAGGTTTTCCAACTCTGTCAATACAAAAATCTGAGTTAGATTGGAGATGGAAGTTGGGTTTCAAAAGAAATTTTGAGGGAGAGTGAATTGGAGGAGTTTTTAGCCTTAACACAAGTCTTGGAGACTCCCTCCCAGACTTCAAGTGGAGGATAAAAAAGTTTGGATTCCAAATGTGGAGGGTTTTACCTGTGCTTACTTCGTTCATTCTTTGATCAATATTTCACAAAATTCAGCTTATAACTTTATCTGAAAAGTTTGTGTTCACTTTGGAGTCATGGACTTTGCTTGGTTGTGCTATCGTAAAAAGTTAAACACATGTGATGTGGTTCAAAGGAAACATCCTCGTATGTTGCTTTCGCAAAGTTGGTGTGTTATGCAGTGCTAATGGAGAGAAAGCCGACCATTTATTTCTTCACTGCAGAGTTACATGGAGGTTATGGAGCAGACTAATTACGGCAGCCAGATTTTATTGGATTTGTCCTAGTAGTTATTTGGCGTTAATGGAAGACATTCCGTTTGCTTTTGACAATGGAAGTAAAGGAAAGGTCTCGTGGAAAGCGTTAGTGCTTGCAATTTTGTGGATTGTTTTGACAGAAAGGAATAGAAGAATTTTCGAAGACAAAGTCAAAGGTGGCGGATCTGAAATGGCTATATTTTGAGCTTCTCTTTGGGAGTCATTGGACAAGAAGTCACAAGACTTTTTGTTATCTTTGATTTTATTGAATTGGAGAGGCATTTTGGACTTTTAGGGGTTGAGTTAGCTACTAAGGGCTCGTTCTTTTGGAGTTTAACTTGAGTATAATTCTTGAGTTGAATTTGAGTTATAACTTGAGTTGAACTTGTAACTTGAGTTTGTATTTGGTTGTATACATTTGAGTTATGGTTTGAGATAAGAATCTTTTTGAGTTTGTGTTTGAGTGAGTCAAAACTTGAATTTGTATTTATATAGTATTTTAATAAAAACTTAATGCTGATGAAAAATTTTAATAGGGTATATGGGTCGGGTTTTATTCGTCTTTTCGTTGTCAACGCATAGAAAAAAAAATCATCTCAATCAGAATTAAAACGAAAAAGTTATAGCATTTTTAAGAATAGAAAAAATA